GATTAAATATCTGGGTCAAATGATCTTTTTATCTTTGATTGAAATGTCTGTCTGTGGCACGCACACGCGCACGGAGGTGGCTTGCCGTGGCCGGTGTCAGGTTTGACCACCGGTGCACTCTGACCCTTGAAATCAACGAGAGGAACGGTCGCACCTGCCGCGCCTGACACCTAACGTTTTCGTCCGTTCCGAGGCTGTTCCTGAAACGGCCGGCCGCGGTACGGAGGCGCGGTAGTAAGCCTCGGCGCGTCATTTTCACACTAGGCAATTGGCGGAGGAATGCCCCTTCAGATTTCGTTAATTCTAACGGCAAAATTAAAACTAAGAAAAAGAATTAAAAATAATAAAGAAAAAGAAAACAAATAAAAATTTGTTAATTAATTCATTTTCTTCAGAATTCACTTTTGGCAAAATTGTCCTCATTTTTCGTCAATTTTAATAACAGCATTAAGATTGAGAAAAAGAAAATAAATAATAAAAAGAACAAAAACAAATGATTATTTATGGTTTGATAAATTTTCGACGGGATTCATTCTTGATTGAATTATGCCAAATTCCTTTATTTATCCACTGCCCGCCGATCGGTTTGAGTTTAATTGGACAATCTCGGTTACCGGTTCGGCGTTGGGCCAGTTTTCTGCAAGATGGTACATTTATGTCTGGCACGGCATTGGTTCGGGACAGGTGCGGCACAGTCACATTGGTTCGGGACGTGATCTGTACTATCACGGCACATTACTGCACAGTACGGCATTCGGCAGCGAGCTGGAGTGGTGACGACATGGGCTGTTGAAATTCAGGGTGGTTGCTGCAGGTTCGGGACCGGTATGGAGACGCAAGGTTGGCATATCTACAGATTCGGGATTCTTGGCTCCGGTACTATCACTGGTCGGATTCCCTTTGAGACTCATGGCAAGCCAGTACCTTCGAGCTCGTGGTAGATACGGGTCCGGCTCGACGAGGCATCGCAGCGGCATATAGCAATCCGATCCAATGATGACTTGGTACAGTATTCGCTGGATTTACCCGACCCAGCGGTACTGACTTATGGTTAGGACTTTGGCAGCCTATGGCATGGTTTCCTGGTACTGGGACTGGTCTAGTGAGGTTACCGGTCCTACAGCAGATGCTGCTGTCTCATGTGTGCGCTCTACAGCCCTGGTACTGGGCCTATTATTGTGAAGGAGGGCCTCGGCTGGTGTGGCCCTACGGCCCTGGTACCGGGCCTATTATTGTGAAGGAGGGTCTCGGCTGGTGTGGCTCTACAGCCTTGGTACCGAGCCTGTGCTAGTGGTCCTTGGAGGCCCACGGCCAGTGATGCTGCGGGGATATAGTCAGGGATTGCGGAATGCAACGGGGGACATTGAGCAGTAGCTGGGAGACCAGGGGGAACTGAGCCTTACTGAAGTGACCAGGGGGAACGGTGTGCATGGGCGAGCGACCGCAGCGCACGGACAGCGAACGACAGCGAACGGAGGAGATCGCTGCGAGCTGGGTTGTGCTCGATCCCGTGAGCAAGCGGGCTCCAGCTATGGCGGGTGCGGCTGCTGCAGCTAAGGGGGGAGTTGTCTACTCTCGTTGATCACACCCGTTCATGGCAGTATGCCACTTCACGAGGAGCCGGGTTACAGTCTGCGACAGGGGGGCGACACGGCATGCGCCTCATGCGCAGGAGCGAAAGAGGGTGGAAGAGAGTGAGCGAGCAAGTATCTTTTCACATCTGTTAACTAATTAATTACCGCTGGTGAAGAGACACCAGCGAGCGCTGCAGATGATCGGTTCATCTATACCCGTTGTTGAAGAGGAACCAGCCACTGCTGCTGCTCATACAATACCGCTGGTGAAGAGACACCAGCGAGCGCTGCTGGTGATCGGTTCATCCATGCCCGCTGATGAAGAGGGCAGCCGTACCTGCTGGAGAAGTGCGCAGGTATCCTTCTGATGAAGAGAGTGAACGTGTTCGGTAATAGAGAGATCTGCCAACATTTTCATAGAGGAAACAACCACAATCCACTACTGACGGGATCTGACATCCCGTTGATGGAGAGAGAAGCCACGATCTGTCGTCGGAGAGACCTTTTATCACTATCTGCTGTTGGTGAGGTCTGTCAACTCATTGAAGGAGAAGGTAACCACGATCTGCAGTTGGCGAGATCTGCCACCACGCTGATGAGAAGAGCTGCTGGCCACGAGATCAGATTCAGCCATTATCACTGGTGGCGAGATCTGCCATTACCGCTAGTGATGAGTTCAGCCATTACTTCTATTGAAGAGATAGGGAAATATTTCACCCGTTTTTGAATCTGCTGCCCCTTGAGGCTATGCACGAACCAGGGAAATAAAATAATAATAATAATAATAATAACTGCTCAAAGTACCTATTCAAAGCTAGTAGCCAGATTCACTGAACCACGATTGCACACTAAGGTTATCTGTTCATATGTAGGACGCTGCTTGGTCGCGGAAGAGAAGTAAGCACAGTCTCCTGGGAAAGTCCAAAGTTCGATCACTAGTATCTTGTGAAAGGGCATACCAATGCGAGTGGCCCAAATTGGCAGCAGTGTGCATTCGAACTTGAGTTCAACGTATAGGGAGAGAGTGAGAGAGAAACAGAGTGAGAGGGAGAGTGCGCTGAGAGAGAGAGGGTGTGCCGCTTCAGATAGGAGAGAGTCCGCTGTGAGAGTGTGTGAAAGAGGGACCGCTGTGAGGGTGTGTGAGAGAGAGTCTGTTGTGAGAGAAGGGGTGAGTGTTGGAGCGAGAGGGAGATGGATGGAGAAAGGGTGCGCTGAGGGAGAGACTGCGCAGAGGAAGAGAGAAGAGATGGTAGGGAAGAGTGACAAGCCTGAAATTGATAATATTATTATTATTATTTTTTAATAATTATTTTGTTTCTTTTCTCACTTGACGCACACCATGCCAGTCTTATGCGAGATCAAGTTTGGAGTGTACATGAGTGTGACAGTGGGTGAGTGTGTGTATGGGTGAGAGAAGGATGGAGAGGGGCTGCATTGGAGAAAACAGCATCCCCAACAGCCTTCCCTCGAATAAAGCACAGGCCTCATCAGAACTGATACAACTCTGATGAGACTGTGTTCTATTCGGGGAAAACGAAAGTGTGAGAGAACACACAGAGAGAGAGAGAGAGAGAGAGAGAGAGAGAGTTGTTGAAAACGGCCTCTTCAGCAGCTGCTCCTTCGAATATAGCACACGGTTCAATGGGATTGAAAATTGTCCGGAATACAGCTTGATGACTGTGTTTTATTCGAGGGGCAGGGAATTAGGGGTATATCTGAGTGGTATAGACACCCACACGCTCACAAAGGGAGGATCGAGAGAGAAAGAGACAGGCGGTCCGTCGCGAGGGAGAAGCCATCGCGAGAGAGATTATAGCTCAGACAAGGCAACCCAGGAGCAAGACAACCAATGTCCTCAAGTAGTAGTGACGAGAAGACCGAAAAGGAGTAAAGACAAAGCTTCAGGGCTTTTCCCTTGTTCAGGTGATAAATGTATCTCTATCCCTTTGGCTGCTCAGCAGCGGTGCGCTGGGATAACGAGTGTGTGACAAAGTACCTGCCCATGATCTAGCGAGAGACGCTTGTCCAGTTCTCTTTCTATGTGGACCTCCAGACACAAAATCCAAAATACAGTGACGTAATGTGCCAAGTACACGGTGAATATTCATTCTGATTTCGACACTTGTTCAACCTACTATGCGTGCTAGTGGAGAGAAGACAGATACAGCATAGCTGGGCCTTGAGCACATGAGGCTAAGAATACAGCCATGCACCTTTCCATGTTCTAAGTGAAGGTTCGCTCTATTTTCCCTTATGTGATGGGTTATATATCGAGCTCAGGGGTGCACAGAGGATGGGTAACCTCACGAGCCTCACCTTGGGGAAAAACAGAGAATATGGCGATATACCTTTCTATGTTCTCACGACAAGTTTCATCTTACTCTTTCCTTGATGAGTAAGCAGGCACAGCTCCGGTGCACTGCATGGCAGGGGCAGATCCGACTTGCACATTCAGGAATAAAGAATGATATCGATAAAAGAGGGGAATGTTGGAGCAAAATTCCAGAAGAACCCCTAGGGTTTTACCAAAGTTTGGTATGTGCTGTCGCTCATGTGGTAATCTTCTCTGCGACCCTGTTGAGTTCTGAAATTGGCCAGTGCATTCATTGCGGGCGTTTCATTCGGGAAAGGTGTATCTCCGACTGGTCAAGGTGGGGGAATATTCCTAGTGTTTCTGCTATAATTCACTAGTGACCCTCGCCCTTGCGACAAATTTTGCTGCTCCCTTGTAACCTGCCCTATAGGCTGACACATTCCAGTCGATTTCACATTGCTGAATTTTCCTTCTAATCAAGCAAGCGGAGCAGTACAAGTATACGTCAAACTATTAGTTGTTTTTATTCCAACAAATCAAAAGAAAGAAAAGATTGCAAAGATCGACCCTTACGCAAGTTCGTGCTAGATCCCCTATCTGCAGCCAGGATAAGTTTATTTAATTGTTGTTTAAAAAAATTGTCTTTTTTCTTTTTCCTCGTGCGGAAGAGAGCATTCAACCTAGCACAAAGTGGGGATGTGACAGGCGGCACACACCCCATCTCCCTACCTATCGCTGAGGACCTCGGAAGTGGGCGCAGCAAGTGACAGGCGTTGTTGCCCTTGGCTTCAGCGAGCGGTAGGTGACCCCTCCCCGGGTTTCCTCACACCGTCACTTCCGGCTTGTGGGGGACCTCCCCTCTTCGAAAGAAGATTCTTCATCATCCCTGCCTTTTCTTTATTCCCGTTCTCCTGTAACCTCCCTTGTCTACATGATCGTCCAATTTTCCAGCTTCCTACTTTCCTATCATTCCCTTTTCGTTTCTTTTCTTTCCTTCTCCTTCTCTTTCCCTCCTCCTTCCCCTTTATCTCCTTCCCTCTTTCTTTTCCTCCTCCCCCCCTTTTTTTCATTCTTTCTTCGTTCTTTTCTTGTCCTTTTTTGCACATTCGCAGAGACCTCCCAAGGAATCTTTTCCGGGTGGATGGTGGAACGAGTTAACGCACCGCTTCCCGTGGATAGGAGAGTGTGCCTGGCTTGCGAAACCCACACAAGCATTAATGACTTGCGTTAACCCAGGGGTCATGGACGTGATAAAAAGTGCATGGGATACCGGACGCTTCCCCCATTTCTTTGAAATGCTCTGTTTTAGTGACCTCGCTGTTCTCGCGGGAGCATGGGATCGGAGTAGGAATGAGTTCGACGACGAACTAAGGGTCTTGTGGGAAAAGCTTGAGTTGAGAAAACAAGAGTATGCTAGGGAATGCAGGGAACTAGGGGGAAGATCTGCCAGGGTTGAGCAGATCCTCATGAGGATCTGGGGTGTGGATGACTCGCACTTGGATGGACGGGTACCCGAACCACGGATGGGCGGTTCACCTGCCACGAGGGCAAACCAAGTAGCAAAATGCGATGATCTCGCGATTGAGGCGGAGGAGAAGGAAGAGATGGAACGGGCAATCGCCGCCATTACGGCCGCTATCAAAGATTCCCCCCTCACAACCAGCCGGACGATTGCTAATGATCGGGACCAGTACACGGCGTTCGCTCCCTTAGCATCCACGTATTGGGTGGAGCATACATCCACGGGATTCCGGCATGCGATTTGGAAGATGGAGACCTTTAACCATATCGCACCGATCTCCATCAGAGCACTCCAGTTCCTGGGGAATGTCACATATGCGCAGGTAAAGGAGTGTAGGGCACAAGTACTGAAGGGAAAGCTGAAGTTCTCCGGGAGAGTCCCCCGGCTAGACCCTCAGGACCTTAAATTCCCACCCATGCGCTCATTAGATCCGGATAAATGTGGGGAAACAAGCTTGGGGATGTGGCAGAAAGCTATTAAACGGCAGGACAGGCTAGACCTTAGGAACTTAAGGAAGATATGGAGCGTAGGTACACCCTATCTCAAGTGCAAATGGAAGAAGGAGAGAAACAGGGACTGCGGAGACACCCCATTGTGGTTTGACCATGCCCTCTGGTATCTACTTGCACATCCGGATATACTGTTTCCAGATATGTCAGGCGGTACTAACCCCCACGGCTTGCAAACCACGAACCTACTTACAAGGGAGCATCGATCTGCGCCACTGCAGGCAGCGGGAAACCGGACCATTCCCTCCCCGCTCCCTCCTTCTCAGCCCCGGTGATGGTGATTAGGGGACTGACCCCCCCACCCGTTACTCCTTTCACCAGAAAACTCGGCGCAATGGACTCTTACCCAGACCGGGAGAGGAAAAAGAGGAGGCGTGAAAAACAAGGGTGGAGGGAGAGCGGGCGCCGCCGCCAACAAGCGACCTGCACGTGCATAACCCCCCCTCGCTAGAGTGGATGAAAGGGTCATGACCATTTTTTCCATTTTCTTCCATTTTTTCCTAAGCTCCCTCTCTCTCTCCCCTTTTCTGGTCTTACCCTTCCTTTTTTTCCCCCATCTTCCCCCCCTCCCCTGTTTCTTCGAAAATTCACCATCCCATCCGGCACAACCCGTGTCCTGTGATTGTGACCTTCGAAGCGCAGGACCCGAGCAGCAGCATCAATGCCCCAGGACAGATGACCACACTACCGACTGGCCGAAGATCTTGGAAGAGGCAGGAGTCAGATTGCGACGGTTTCCTGCACCTAAGGTACACTAGTAGGGTGATGGAACCACTTTCCATCAGGAAGCTGACAACCCACTGCTCCAAGGCATCATCAACTCTGGGCTAAATCATATCCCATGCATGGCCCTAGACGTGGACGAGGCGGAGAACGAGGTGGACGGATTCCTGGACAGGCTCATGGCGATGGTAATGGAACTACGGGGACTCGCGACGTCCACCCAGTCTTTTCTACTGAGGATAATTTTGAAGAAGGCGAGGGCGAGGATGACCAAATACCAGGAGCAGCACAAACACGTAACCGCAGAGCCATTGGAACATCCAACTGTTAAGAGGGAGCTAGAGTTCCTCACCAGCCGCTTCCTCATCTGTCCGACGGATAAGGCCGCGAATACTCCAGCCTTCGTATGTAAGGACTTCATACGAAAGCTCGTGTTTCAGAGGTTGTCTGGCCTTGAGTTCGCCAGTATCGCCGCCTCCCCTGCATTGGTCATCGCGCGAATACAAGGCGAACTTTCAGCTATGCCCGCGCTTCCGATTGCACCAGCGTCTCTCCCCTACGTGATGACGGTGTACAAAGCGCACAAAGGCACGTTCCGCTGGATTACGAACATGGCCAATACGGTTGTCTCCCTGGCAGTGGACCTGTGCGCTTGTCTTCTTCGGTTTCTTCTCCCCCTGGTGCAAACATTCTGTCAGGAGAGGAGCTTGGAGGTGGAGGAGCAGTATGGAGTGAACCTGGACCTGTCGTGGTCAGTAGCCTCAGTAGGGGAGTTCTGTGCCAACCTACCTAAGAGGGTCTATTCCATCTTCACGGCGGATGTCACGAGATGCTTTGAGACCATTCCCACTGACAACTCAGAGGATAGTCTACCAGCGGCGGTGAGGTTCTATGTGCAGAGTGCGATGCAGGTGCGAAGGAAGAGGAGCGCAAGCCATGCAATCCAAATCAAGGTGGGTGCGGGTGGCAAGTTGTGGCCATCATGGACGGATGGCGATCAAGCAGGAGAAATGGGTACTATGCTGTTCAGAGAAGAGGATGTCTGCTGGCTTACGGAGTGGTGCATCGCCAACAGCGTGCTGCGCATGGGGGACTATGTATGGAGACAAGTCAGGGGCATCCCTATGGGCTTGGCCTGCTCCCCGATCTGGTGCGATATCTATTTCTTTAAATATGAGTATCGCGCCATGATGAGGCTAGCGGATACCGGGAATGCGCATCTGATTCCCTACTTCTCGGACACCTTCAGGTACATCGATGACCTGGGCGCCATTAACAACACTATCATCAAGAACTTCATGTGGAAGAAAGAGGACAGGGAGGTGAACGACCCATGCTGGATCTATCCGGACGAGTACATAGAGATCAAGGAGAACACCGAGGTTACTGAGGATGGGTGCGGACGGAGGGCCAATTTCCTCAGCATGACCATTACGATCACGTCCCCAGTAACGGGGGCATATGTCACCTCCAGGCATGACATGCGCGCAGGTCTGGGTTTTACTCCATGCAAATTTATGAAATATATATCCAACAGGAGTGCCAAGCAGTCGCTGCAAATTATCACAGCCCAAGTCGCGCAGATCCGATTACTGTCCTCCAAACCAAGTGACGCGGCCGAAGAGATAAACAAGGTAGTGGCTGCGATGAGGCGCAATGACTTCGCCAGAGCGACTTGCTGGAGGGTGGTCAAGAAAACTCTACGGAATGCGTATCGCTTCCAGCTCGGGGGGGTATTCGTACATACGGTTAGGGAAGCACAGGCCAACATGTATGGTATTATTGACTAATTGTTGTATCCGTGTGCGTGTCCGTGTCTGTGTGTGTGCGTATGTGTCTGAATGGTGTCTGGGGGACGAATGGGCCGAGAGGGCCGGTTGTTCTCCGGATGACCTTCCCCTCGGACCGTGTCATCCCTCGGAGGGAAAGGGGTGGGACACACACACACACACACACGCATACAGGAGAGGAGAGAGAAGCAATAGGAGCTGGAGGTGCGGACTCATGAAGCTGAACGATTCTACGGGCGAGCGCATGCGTTCCTCTCTCTCTCTCTCTCTCCGCTACCTTTTTTTCTTTCTTTCTTCTCCTTTTTTCCTTCTGTTTGTTTTCTTCCCCCACTTTTTTCCTTCTGTTTGTTTTCTTCCCCCACTTTTTTCCTTTTTTTTCCTTTTTCTCTTTTTCTTTTTTTCCCCCTTTTTTTCTTATTTCTTGTTTCTTTTTCCTTTTTCTGTTTTTCTTTCTTTCCCCCCCCTTTTTTTTCAAGGCCAGAATAGCCCTCTTTGCTCTGGGTGGCGTGGCACGGTGGATGTGGGAAAATTTGCTCTGGGTGGCGTGACACGGTGGATGCGGAAAAGTGGTTGCCCCTTGATAAGTCTTGGTGCGCAGCCAGGCGAAACGCGTCTTGGAATGTGCGCGTGGAGCAGACTATCCGTGCAGGAGCTTTATTGAACTTCGTTGAGATATGGACGCATAGCGATTGGCCTCGCTATTTCACTTTTTCTTTTTTCTTTTTTCCTTTTTCTTTTTTTTTTTTCTTTTTTTTTTTCCTTTTTCCTTTCCTTTTTTTTCTTTCCCTTTTCCTTTTTGTTTTTCTTTTTTCTTTTTTCTTTTTTCGTACCATAGGAGTGGTAGGAGTAGCACAGCCCCGACATCATGAATTAAACCCCCGGGCAATGAGAACCTGCTAACTGAGGATTTCGAGAGCAGCCCGCTCTCGGGTCGTGACGAATAAGGTCAGGGACTGGGGAGATACGTGGGCGCGTGGTATCGTGAGTAGGCCGTGGTTTAGTCTTCGTTTTGTGGCCCTATCGACTTTTCATTTTTTCATTTTTCCTTTTCTTTTCTTTTCTTGTCTTCGCTCGTCTTTTTTTTTTCCTTTTTCCTTTTTTCCTTTTTTTTCGGTCTCCTGGTTTCCTTCTCTTTCCTCCTTTTTTTCCTTTTCCTTTTTTCTTCTTCTTTTCCTTTGTGTGTCCTTTTTCTGGCCGTAGGATAAATGCGTTTAAATAGCTGAATCAGAGCAATAGCTTGCACCGGAAGGCTGCGATTCTTGAGCACACATCGTGACTATATCAGAACAGAACGCAGGGGGTTCTATTCATCAGATCACCGTGCGGTTAATGGTTCCGACAGCAAACGGGGCTTCCGGTTTTCGTGATTGCGAAGGGTTGGGTGAGGTGTATGGCGGCATGGATTTCTTCGCCGACTGGGACTTGGAAGAGGAGCAACCGGAGGTGGAGGAAGTGGTAACATTCCTGGCAATCGGCACTTTCCCGGTTTTGCTTTCGTACCTCGACGCCTAAGCACTCCGAGGCCGGGCGATATGCATACCGCCTCTACCTGCCCTGCTGAACCGGCTCCGCCCCGCCTGCCCCCCTCCGTACCATCGCAAAACGCCGCGTTCATACTCCTTCTCTTCCTCGCCCTGCTCCCCAATCTCGCCATAGCCTGCGCGTTGCTTGTTGCTTGTCTTTCCGAAAGAATCTTTCTCCACTTATCGGCTAGGCGTTTTGCGTTATTAATCGGTTGCACTATCTGCTTTCCAACCCTTTTTCTCACCAGCTGGTACTGCCTTTTCTTTGTGTTGGGCTCCGAGGGGTGGCTTAGTGGTTAGCCGGGCAGCAAGCGCTGCAAGGAGCAAAACGATGGAGCACAGAACAGCGGCGGAGGCTTCGACATGCGCCTTTCTGACCTTCCTTTCGTTTCTCTCCTTCCTGTTCTTCCTCTACTTCATCTACTCCCTCCCCCACCCCACTCCGCATGACCCCTCCCTCCCCCTCTCCCTCGCCCCGTCCCTCATCCCTCTACCCCGTAACCCTCCATCATCCCTGTCTCACTACACCCCCCTCCATAACCCGACCACTCCCACCCCCAACCCCCCGCCTTCCAGAGATCGTGGAAGATGTTCCCCCCCTCCCCCCCTCTGATGACGCCCCACGTGGCATGGGGCAGAAAAGCGCTTTAGGGAATTGCCACGCCCTTCCCACAATTCGGTGAGATGATCCACGTGGATGCAGGAACGCGCTGGATCTGGAGGATAGAGCTGAAGCGGGATATAACCTTTTTGCCCCCTTTCCCCATTCCCCGTCCTCCTTCCCCCCCCTTTTTTCCCCATGTGGAACCACATGAACGATTGGCAGCAGAGGAACGAGGTGGGCGATGTATTTTGTTCTTTTTACAGAAGAGACTATTCGGTGTGATTTCTGGTCACCTTTGGATGTATGGACTAGCCCTCCCTTCTCTTGTATGGTGTCTAGATGGGTGCAATGGAAACATCGCTTGCCTCTTTTTCCCTTTTTTTCCCTCCTCTCCTTCTCTCCTTCCTCCCTCCCTTTCTTTCGTACCTTTACCGCTTTCTCTCCCTCTCTCTCGTCCTCTCCCCTCCTCCCGCTCTCTTCCTCCCTCTCCCGTCTTCTCTTTAATTCAATTATTTTCCCGCTGTGGCCAGTCGAGAGTTTTTTTTCACCGTATCAGGATACCTTTTCCGGCGATGACTCGTCCTTTACCGCACTCTCACCAGGTTAATGAATGTGTATGATCGTGTCTGAGCAATTGCATGCAATGAATTATTTTTTAATGCTTGTCGTGCTCTTCGGTAATTTCTATACTGCCAGATCGTTTTGTGTGTCTTGCTTTTGTGATTTTTTCAATGGTAATATGTTGTTGATACCCCCTCGAGGAACGAGGCACTTCGATTCGCCACCAACGCATAATTGACCAACTTCGACAGTAGAACGGCCTCATGTTTTTACCCTCACCACAAATGGACACACGAGTGGTTTTACTCCGCCGCGTTGAAAGACCGCCTCCCGCGTCTTGCTTTTTTGCTCACAGTGTGTCGACGCTTTTTGGTCGGAGTAGCACGAGTATGACATGTCGTGCTCGTGCGAAACTCGTGTGACACACACATGCTACACACACACACACACACAGCCCGCGACTGGCCTCACGCTTCTTCCATCGATAGGATGAGCAAAATCGAATGAATTTTCCGCTAGAACATCGAAATATACAATAGTAAACGTGTGTGTGTGTGTGTGTGTGTGTGTGTGTGTGTGTGTGTGTGTGTGAGAGAGAGAGAGAGAGAGAGAGAGAGAGAGAGAGAGAGTCTAGCGATAGATTCGTTCGATTTTGCTCATCCTATCAATCGAAGTACCCTCTCTCTCTCTCTCTCTCTCTCTCTCTCTCTCTCTCTCTCTCTCTCTTTTTCTCACTCTCGCGCGTGCGCGCGCCCTCCCATTCACACCGCTTAACAACAACAGTTGATGGATCGTCCTTTTCCCACTCCCCGTCCTGCTGCTGCTCCCGCTCTTCGTCCTCCTCCTCCCGCTGCTTCTCGTGCTCTTTCCTCCGGTCCTCCTCCCGCTCCTCCTCCCGCTCCTTCCAAAGTTCTAGTGTGAGTACGGCCTTGGTGTTACACCCCAATTTATCCTTCTTCCCTACATCCACCTGCTCCTCCTCACCTCTGCCGCCTTCTCCTTCTCCTCCTCCGCTTCCTCAGCTTCTCTTCCTCATCATCGTCCCGAATGAATTTTCTGCTAGATGAGCAAAATCGAATGAATCTACCACTACTCTCTCTCTCTCTCTCACACACACACACACACACACACACACACACACACACACACAC